GAGAGAGAGAGAGAGAGAGAGAGGTCTTCTTCTTCTTCTTCTTCTTCTTCTACTTCTTTTTCTTCTTCTTCTTCTTCTTTGTGCGCACCCTGCAGCGGCGCGCGCCGCGCGAGCACGTGGGACAGCGGCCCCGCGCTGCCTTGCGGCCGCCGCACGGCCGGCGCCATCGCCGTGCGCGGCCGTTCCAAGTGCGCGGCGTTTTTAGTGCCCGGCCGCGGCCGAACACGGCCGAGCGAGGCTGAACACGGCCGACGGTGACCGACAGAGGCCGGGCGGAGCTACCCGCCTCGGAAGGCCGGTTGAGGGCGGCCGGCCGGGTGCTGGTGGGCCGTAGCCTAGAGCGACAACAGGGGGACACGGTCGGGGTGCAGCGACATCGAGGGGGCGCTACATCGACGGTGCGGCACGGTCAGACGACATCGAAGATCCTGGTGGGGGGGCGATGTCGGGGGGTGCAGGGACCAGCGGTGAGGGGGGTTCTGGGGGTGCCCAATTCAACCCGGTGTCCGAGAAAGAGATGGCGAAGTTGAGGCGAGGGAAAATTGTTTGGAACTACGTCACCGTGGGCCAGTATGTCGGGGACCAGTCGAAGATGCACGGGGACCGACCACCTGTTTCAGGGGGGGTCATTGAAGGCCGCGCGTCATTTCACGCAGTCAAAGTTCTGCAAGGCTGGGGGGATGAGAGTTCTCGCGGAACTCTGGAACGACACGGACCATCATCCGCGCTCGAGCGCTTGTGCGATTTAATAAATCGCACGGCGTTGCTCACGCCCTCTTTAGGAAGGTGAGCCCTCGCGTTCAGCTCGTTGAGCCCGTTGAGACACGGTTTGCATCGGCTTTCCTGATGCTGACGTGTCTCAAAGGCCGACGAGACGCATTGGAGAGCATGTTGCACGGGGATGCTTGGGCACGCATCCCATGGGATCGCGCCCACATATCTCAGGCGCAGTGGGTGCAGCAGCAGATCCGGGACGCGGAGTTTTGGCAGCGTGTCCATTACGCCATCCTAGTCATGTCGCCCGTCCACCAACTGTTGCCCAGGATGGATAGAGGTAGGATGATGATGTCCGCCGTTTACGAGTGGAGTCAGCATCTGCTGCAATTGATGAGGCGGGTCGACGTGCCTGAGGACATGATCGATCCGTGCGTGCGTGAGGTTGCCATCCGCAACCTCCACATGCTAGAGCCCGCACATGACGCGGCCTCCTCAACCCTCGTCGACGGTCCCTCACGTATTACCATTCGCTGCAGACGACTGCCGAGGACCGCCTTGTGGTTGAGGAGTGCGACAGATTTCTCCTGGTGCAGACCGGCGGCGATCCGGTCGGGTTATTGTACAGGACCGTGAGGGACCAGATGAGAGCGTTCCACTCGAGGCGAGGGGATTGGGGAGATCGTGAGCACTCCGATGCCGAGGCGGCAGATTGCAGGGGGGACAGCGAGACCGAGCGGTGTGCAGCGTGGTGATTCGAGCATGGACGTGCCCACCCGGAGTTGCGCACCATTGCCATCCGTGTCATGCACTTCTGGACGTCTGCCTCTCCAGCGGAGAGGAACTGGGCGGAGCACGAGCGCGTCACCACGGCGAGGCGCTGCAAGCTTGGGCTCGCCAAGCTTGCACAGCTGGTTGAGATTGCCACCAATCTCAAACTGGCATCGTGCGCACGGCAGGGTGGTGGCTACATGTTGCCATGGGTTATGGGGAGCGGTCGGGGGGGTACGGTGGCAGAGGAGGAGGATGAGGAGGGAGATGTGGAGCCCAAGGTGTGGGGAGCACGACCTGATGGCAGTGTTCCCGAGCAGGAGATCCACCGACAGATTGTCGCTTTCCGTGACAGCCGACCGTCCAGAGCCCGTTCAGTTCGGGACGTGTTCAACAGCAGAGCGACGGAGCTGCGACCGTGGCCGAAGGGTGGGGATGATGTGGACGCTGCTGCGGCAGACGACGACATCGACGACGACTGGACTGACGATGATGACACGCCGCTGAGTCACGACCCGACGGCTGAGCGAGTGTACTTCACTTACGGTGGGGGTCGTGACGGCACAGATTCATTCACATCAGTTATCGCTGGTGTTGTGCCGTCGACCGCGCTGACGAGTGGCAGCAGCAGAGCCGGTGGTGGTCATGGAGGACGTTCGCATGTGGAGGTTCGCGTGGGCGACTCGGAGGAGCAGCAGCCACGGGGAGGTCTTCGGCACACAGGCAGGCGTTGGGAGGTTAGGAGCGACAGCAAGGCGGAGGGGGAGGCCGAGGATGAGGAGGTGCACCTTCGCGATCGTCGCTTCTCTCCCTCCCATCATCCGATCTCTGCACAGCCCGAGGGGCAGCCACTTAGGCGTTCGGAGAGGTTGGCGTCAGCAGCAGGCAGAGACCGGACACATGACGGCGAGGATCATTGGGGTGAGAGGACTCCTTCCGACGCCGGTATCCGCCCCCGCTCGACGTCAGTGCTCCGCACACAGGACTTCGAGGACATAGGGCTTGGTGGGAGCTTGGCAGATTTGAGTGTCGAGGGACGTCGACGTGCCTCACCGCAGGATGTGCGCACAGACGCGGACGTTGAGCGGGGCCCTGTTGAGACTGAGGAGGAGAGGCATGCCCGTTTGGACTGAGAGGAGGAGGAGCGGCTGAGGAGTTTGCCACGGTGGGAGGGTCGGTTCGCGTATCTCGACGAGCAGCGTCGGTAGAGGGACTCGAAGACAGGAGGGGAGGGGAGCCGTGACGTCGACGACTCGAGTGTCCTTGAGGAGGCGGTTCAAGGCGAGTTCGATTATGAGGGGCAGGATGACGCCGAGGGTGTCCCTGAGGGGCAGGATGTTGTCATGGGCGGTGGGTCCCCTAGTGGGGACCGTGGCAACAGCGAGACCGCGGGTGATGAGGGACAGGGTGCCGCAACGTGCGACAGAGGAGAGGGTGGACCCGGTGGAGACAGTGATACCGCGGGTGCCGGTGGAGACAATGGACCGGACGGCGACGATGACGATGACCACGGTTCGGAGGACGATCCAGATAGGCTCGCCTTGGTTTTGAGGGACCCCACAGTGCCTCCCATGGGTCCTGACGGCACAGCGCACACTTTCTTCGGCGCTGACGCTTTGGCGCATGCATTGACGGATGACCCTTTCGCACACATGGGCCGCAAGAGCGGCAAGCAGCGGGCCCCTGGGAGGGTATATTCACCACCGCCATTCACAGTGCAGAGCCCTCACTAGTCAGGTTCATCGCTCAGCGGCGTTAGAGGGAGGGAGTCCGGTGCGGGTGAGGTTGGGTCCGGTAGACGCAGCGACGACGACAGAGATAGTAAAGGATCGATGCCTCCACCGCCCGCACGGACTCCGGAGGGCAGGGTCGACACCGGGAACCGGACGGTGGCACCCAGAGTTGCGCACAGTGGCGGATCCCCGCCGCCAGTCCGAGGAGGTGTGGGTGGCGGATGGTCAGCTGTTCGTCGGGTCGGGGACCGGTTGCGGGCGGATTACAACGCCGGGAGGGGCGTCTTCACGGGACGTGCGGCTGCTCAGACGCAGGCTGCGGAGGGCGGGTCTGGGTGTCCGAGCCTGCAGATGGCAGGCCACATGCTTGGTTTGTCACGAGCCGAGACGAGGAGGACATTGGTCCTCGAGGCCCCAAGGACATCCGCGGACAGGCTGCGGGGAGAGCAGTTCACATTGGGCGAGGAGGGGTTGTTGATGCGTCCCGGGACGAGACGACAGCATGGCTCTCAGAAGTTGAGGCTCGACTTGCTGCAGGGGTCGTCGCTGGGCAGGCAGCGCTGAACGCGATTCAGAGGGAGAGAGAGAGGGGGATTGCTGCACAGGCGGAGGAGGACGAGGACGCAGACACTGAGTCCGAGCCGATCGAGACGGCGGCCCACAGACACAGGGCACAGGTGGCCGCGGCGGCCGCTGCAGCACATGCGGCATACGTCAGTGGGGCGCGGGGCATAGGTACCGGAGGGAGAGGAGGGTGCATGGGAGGATCGCATGGCCGCGCACACTCTGGTGGGAGAGGCCACGCACGCTCTGGTGGGAGATGACGACGTCCGTGGTGTATTTTTTTTTTTCATTAGTTTTTTTTTTTTTTTCCCTTGGTTGTACAGCCTGGACGCTCTGTCGGCAGGGTTGTAGCATATTTATGTCGATGTTGTTCCATGGAGACGACGATAATATGTGGACATTAGGGTTTTTTTTTTTGTTTTTTTTTTTTTGCTACTCGGTTGTACAGTAGAGACGACGCCGGTCGACGGGTCCAATTTTTTTTTTGGTACTCTGTTGTGTAGCAGAGATGATGGGTCCAGTTTTTTTTTGCAACTCGGTTGTAGAGTAGAAACTACGGGTCCAGTTTTTGGCTTCAGCCTTGTACATACGCGTTTCCATTAAAATGCTTTGTCATATATTTGCTCTTGTTCTTGTTCCTCCGCCAACATTGGTCTTGCATCTGAGTCGCTATTGTTTGGTGATTGTTTTCTGCTCTGTTGTCGTGAATGTTGGAAATTATGTGCTTCTCCGATGCCACGCACCTGCATGTCATGGATGCCTCCATTATGAATGTGTTGTTAATTTCAGATGCGACATAGGGATGATGTGCTAATGAATGTGTTCTTACATAAATGATTGGCTAATGAATGTCCATCAGTCTCATGGGTGAACACACACTATGACACACTTGCCTGTTATCATTGTTTGAAACTTGTGGTTCGCCGCACTGTGATTGATTTGCAATGTGTTTTCACATTGGTATGCCAAACAGGGTCTTGACTTATGATTGCCATGAATGTGTTGTTTTAAAATAAGCGGCGAACTGTCATCGCCCTCATTAACGAAACAGACGCCTACCTTTCAGTGCGTGAGGCCCTGATCCGCCTGGGGTCTGCCATCTGCAGCCCCGTCTAGCTTCGACCCGGACTGGCCACACGGCCCGCCCCAACCAGGCCCTCATCCAACCCACGTTGAGCCGCCCCCGCAAATTTTTTTATTTTTATTTTTTCCACTGTTCCAGACCCTCCTCCCTGCGACCCCGTATCGACGAACCTGCACACGGGGGCCGCTGGATTTTTCGTGGGCCACCCTTCCAGGGTCTTGTGCAGGACCCCCCCGATTTTTTTTTTTGACGCCCTGTCACTTTGAGGGGGTGCCCCCCCACCCCCCCATCCCAAACCCGCACCCCGCTCCCAAAACCGCCCCCCGGATCGGCCGACACCACGGCCGAAAAAACTCGGTCGGGCTCGCCGCGGCCGGGGGGGTCCCGGCCTAGGCCGCCGGCCGCGGCCCGGGCCGAACTCGGCCGCGGCCAGCGTGCAACATAGTCTAGACACTACAGCTAGGCTTCTGGAACTCGCTAAGAATCCTACTCTATAGATCTACAGATCGAACCCCTGCTTCCTTTGGGACCCTATGACAGACTACTAACTGTTACAAATACACAGGTCTCAGGTTCAACTCTCGGAGTCGACACAGGTACTGTACACAGGTAGGGCAAGGTCTAGGGATCGAATCTCGGGATCTGCGTCTGCTACTGCTAAGAGGTGAAAACCGTTTCAGAAGATGCGAAATTCTAATCTAATTTGAAATACGAAACGTTAATTATTTACTTTCAAAAAGGAAAATGCAAATTTTCAAAAATAAAGAAGTTCAATTACTTTTAATGTTCAAAATGGGAGAATAAAGTATTATAAACTTTTGTCAACCAATAGGGGTATCGTACGGAGGGGGGGGAAGGGCGAGCGGAAGCGAGGTTGGGCACTGGGGGCGGGGGGTGAGATCAGCCGCG